GAGAATCTTATAGCCACCGTCCGAGAAGTTGTAAACCGCCTCGAACGCTAGTGCCTGGGTGAGCTACTGCCTTGCCAGGACTCCTTGCTCTTCCTAAGACTGAAGTGAAATGCTGCTGGCTTCTGAAACAGCTGGCTTCCAAGTTAGATTTCAGATCCCATAGACTTTGGTGTCAGCATTCTGTATTTGGTGAAATCAAAGTCCAATAGTATTTAGTTGTCCAGCACAAATGCCACATTCACCACAATCACTGTTTCTGATATTCTGATATCTTAGATTTTTCACAGTTACACTTCGATATACAAGGGCATATTTAATAGGGTTGCTAAAGAGACAAATCAAGTCTCCCCACCATGGTATATTTCCTGTTAGCAGTGTTTATCAGCTCTTGTATGCAGCTGTACTTTAAGAAAAGAAGCAGAAGCACTAGCTTGACCTTTTTGTTTTAAACCTGCAAGGCTAAGTTCCTGAGCCATTATTCTGAATTGCCAGCATGAAACCAAATGGCATTTTGATTCAGTGAATTCTGAGCGGAGGTCCATCTGTGCCATGGGAAGCCAGAGGTCCTCAACCTTTCTGGTCCTGACCTTTTGTGATAATTGCGTAGTGCAGTTAATTGCGCGATTCCCGTTTCAGCTTAGCTTAAGTAAAAAGGCCATTGCCCTTCCCTCAAGCAGCCAGATGGAGCAGACGAGCCTTCCAAGTCATGTCTGCTCCCTGCAGGGTTTAGAAGCAGCACTTTTGCCGCTGTTTTATGAAAGGGAACAGCTTGCGGACACAAGTCTGGGATTTTTCTGCGGCTCATCAGCCTTCTTGTTTTAACAGGGCATTTTCTGTTAGGATGCCTGTAAGCTGGAAAGGAGAGGCTTGGGGAATTGACAGGTGGGAGGCTGTTTGTCTGCGACAGAATGTGGCAGTCAGTGAAGAGGTCTCCCTTTAGGCAGATATTGGAAGGGCACCTCAGGCCCAGAGCCAGATGCTTCCCATTCAGCACACCTTGCAGCAGAGCCTGACTCGAAGCTTCAGATGTTAAGACAGTTAGCTGTATGCGGTTGTCTCTGCTGTTGTGAGTGACGCCAGGAGAGTTATCAACATTATTTGTGGCATCAAAATGGAAATGTGTTCTGCTTCTGGAAAAAATTGCATTCAAATTTGAATCACTTGAAGCAACAGCCACAGAAAAACAACCACCACGCTTCTCCTCTTTCTCACTGTTCTGGCTAAGAAGGCATGTTCTCGTGTTCTCACTCCCTAAAAACAACATAGATAAGGCAATTAAAGTGTTAATTTCAGACTGAGTTAGTTATACAAATATGAACACTTAACTGCTGTTGATGTTCCAAGCACGGTTTGTAATTAGACATTCACTTGGCAAAATATTCATCAAACACGAGGAGGCTGTGAAGGCAAAGGATAGGAACTGTCAGGGTGGGGCCACCACTGAAAAGCAGTAAGTCCACGTAGCTTTTAATGCTCTTGCTGTGTGTCAGGTTGCATTAACTAGAAAAACTTTTCCCCTGTCAAATGTAGTTTTGGCACAGCTTTTAACCTGCGGGTAAGAAAAACGCAGAAATGCTGGGAACAAAATCAGTTATCACCTGATGATTCCTGGTGTATGAGATCAGAGACCATTGCCAAACCTTTACATCTCTGGCAAAAGATGCTCCACCCTTTTTTGTTAGGCTAACTGAAAACACACTAACTTTTAGATGGGAAAGGCTTGTTAAGGAGCTTATAGATCGCTTGAAAGTAATGGGGTCCTTGTTTCGCATCTCAGTGGGACCTGGTCACTTGATACTATTTCACTCCTGCTTTCCCTTACAGCACTCACCTCAAACTGTCACCCTAATGTTTTGATTCATATTATAAACACCAGAAATCGTTTTTAAGTTTAACAGAACTGATCTTAATGTCACTTCAAAATGTGTATATTCTACAGAGGTACAAAAAAATAATTCACTACTGGGGCCAGAAACATTGGATTTCTTTTTATACACACTTCCATTTTAAGTTACATTATGTCTGTGCAGTTGAAACTGCTGCTTTTTGCTTCTTCTTGCTTCTTTTGATGATGGGAGCTGCATATTGACAATTTTATCTATGGTGTTGTGTTTTCAAATTTTAAATGTGTATTTTATCACATCTGCATCTGTAGAGTTTTGGGGTGGGTACTTACCCTAAGCTGTTTCAGCCAACACTTCACAAGTGTGTTTAAATAGAAGTTCTACATCTTCAAGGATGGTTTAACAGGATGTTGTGACTTGAATAAACCTCTTCCATACAGTTTTCGTATCCAGCTTGTCTTGAGTTGATGATGGCAGGGCAATTGGGCCTGGCAACCATGCTGGGCATTCCCATTGAAATCCTTTTCTCTTGGGCATAGCCCTGTATGCAAATTCCTGATCAAGTTGTCTTTAGGGAAGCTGGGGGGAAAGACTGAGTATGACAGTGGCTAATTGCAGCAATGCGGCTCATGCCCATTAGGAACTTCCACTGTGTTTCATGAAAGTCCTCCCTTTTAATCTCAGGTGTTTGGGATTATCACTGAAAATACAATCCAGGACTGAATCCACCATTTCCAGAGACAAGTCCTAGTGTGAGCCTGACATATACAAACTTTTTCTAAATCTTGTCATCGTCGTCCCCTTTGTTTTATTTGCAGTTTCTTAGGCCCTGGATGCTTTTCTTAAAGGGATGAAACAAATGTGAGGAATGAGGGACATGCTGGGAATAAGCCGAAGACACTCTGGTTCTTGCTTACTGGATGAGCATCTTCTGTGAGGACCCAGGGGCAGCCAAGAGAAGATGACATCCCCTCTATCCAACTTCCAGAGCAAGCTTGCACTGCTGTGTGCCATTTCCTGTTATTTATCACCCGGCTGTGGGCACACTCTGGACTAGAAGATGCCATGATGATGCTTCCTTCTCTGTCAGGTCAAAGTTGTCTGTCTTTGGTAATACAAAGCTCTGGAATTTCTGTTGCTCAGGTTCTGACAGAGTCTCTCTCTCCCCCCAGCGCAGTCCCACCCTGTTTCCCTGCACCTTAGTTGCATGTACTCTGTGCTCTGCTGGCCATCAAAGCCTCTCTTCCATTTGGTGAAAATGTCTGCAGACGTCTGTTAATTGCTAAAAAAAACCCTCTGTGATAATCCAGTAAAAAAAGAAAAGAAAAAGGACCATCAGCTTCCTTTTTTCTCCCAGCATTGTAAGTTCAAAACCTTCATGTTGGACTGAAACCTTCTTTGTAGTTTGTTACCTAGTTTGATGTTACATGGTAGTCTTGTGATTCAAATATCTCTTCTGAGCAACAGGAAATGGGCCTGAAGGAGAAATCACATGCCCTTCCCCTTCTGGTAATGTGTGGCCATCCCAAAGAAATAAACAATGTAAACAGGTCTCTTGCTATGGATTTTTACAGAGCTCTAGCAAAAATGAAAGTAAATAAAATGGGGATCTGGAGACTACCATAAAGCAGGCATGGATAACCTCCGACCCACAGGGCTCATAATTTGCCCTGCAGAGGCATTTCCTCTGCCATACACCTGACATCCTACACTGTTGAGAGTGGGGCAGTTAAAGACATGACTGCAAAGGAGCATTGGGGAGCCCTGAAGTGCACTTCTGAGTGTTCTTTGGCAGGGCTGATAGCGAGCTCCACTGGGATCTGCTGCACTCAGGAGTTCCTGTTCAGTAATCCAGCTGATCCCTGCCAAAAGCAGGGCTTGAAGCTGGTGCCACTCAGCTGATCAGCGCTGACTGCAAGCCCTACTTTGGGGCAGGGATCTTCCTTTGTAGCAAACCCCTAGTTGCCCCTTTGAAGAGCTGCATTACATGCTTCAGCCAGTGGTAGAGGCCAGAGTGAATTATGTGGGTCACCCTAACCTAGAATCTCACTGTGTTCCATTGAGTCTGCACACATTTATGTCTCTACAAATGGGAAATGCTGCAGAGTCAATCAAGCAAGAACATGAGTATGTTTGGCCCAGATTCTAACACCTTGTGTGAAACCAGTGTTGACCATCCATGAAATAAGTTTCACCTGAGTTTGCTGTCCTATTACCTTGTTTACAGATAATCCTGTGAGCTGCTGAATTTCTGAATAGATCACATTTGGAGGAACGAGCTTAAGGACATTGGTGTGTTGCTAGCCAGGGATTCATTACAAAGACATGTATTGTGGATGCAAGGTCCTACAGTACTTTCAGCCAATAGATGAGGAAAAAACAGTGATTGCAGGGCTGACAAATGAATCCTTCCTCAAATGTGACCCCCCCCCCCAATTTAATGCCTTCTATTGGTTTCTGCAAACACTGGTGTAACATCACAAAAGTGTACTGTTGGCATATGTTTAACTCTGATAAAATACTGCCTTTTGAATGTTTATCTGAGTTTCGTGTAAACCTGGTACCTCCTGACATCAATCTTGTGGCTTCAGCAGAAGGGCTGCTACAATGCTATTGATAGCAACTGTACAGTCTGAGTTGGTACCCCTTGTTCACACAGCAGCTGTATTTTCATGCACCGACGGTGTGCAAAGAGTGCAGGAACAGTGGCAGCCCCTCCCAGAGAGTCCCTAGCAACTGTGCAGCTACACACAGATTGCAACACAATGCAGGACAATTCTCCTGGCAGCAATGTGTGGAAAACTCCCATTGACAGGAAGCAACAACAGCAGCAGGGTTAGCAACACTTGACCCTTTCCTTCCTCTCTCCTCTAGAGATAATAGCAAGGAAGGAAGGCCTTGGTCTTATATGAGGGAGCTGGCAGGCAGAATAAAAGTCCTGTTTCTAAGAGGTGTGTCCAAGTTTTCCATTGGGTAATAAAACCTTTCAAATTGTACTTTGAGCACAATTGGCATCTGTGAGCATTTGAATAGAGATAACTTTTGCGATGGGAATGTCCTGGCAGAAGTGGACCAGTAAAACAGGATCATACTAAAAGAGCAAAGGTCAAAACAAGTAATTGCTGCCCAGATGCAACAGTACAGTGGGAAGGTTTGCTGCAGTGGAAAATTGCAGAGGAATGTTTGAGGGATACTGCTGCTGACACTTTCAGCCCTATGGTTTAGTAGAGGGGGATAACAATAACAACAACAATAATAAATGTATTATTTATACCCTGCCCATCTGGCTGGGTTTCCCCAGCCACTCTGGGCAGCTTTCAACAGAACACTAAAAACAGAATAAAACTTCAAACATAAAAACTTCTCTAAACAGGGCTGCCTTCAGGTGTCTTCTAAAAGTCTGGTAGTTGTTCTTCTCTTTGTCATCTGGTGGGAGGGCGTTCCATAGGGCAGGTGCCACTACCGAGAAGGCCCTCTGCCTGCTTCCCTGTAACCTCACTTCTCACGGTGAGGGAACCGCCAAAAGGCCCTCGGAGTTGGACCTCAGTTTCTGGGATGAACAATGGGGGTGGAGATGCTCCTTCAGGTCTACTGGGCCAAGGCCATTTAGAGCTTTAAAGGTCAGCACCAACACTTGGAAAAATGCTTGGAAACATACAGGGAGCCAATGTAGGTCTTTCAAGACTGGCGTTATATGGTCTTGGCGGCCACTTCCAGTCATCAGTCTAACTGCCACATTCTGGATTAGTTGCAGTTTTCAGGTCACCTTCAAAGGTAGCCCCACATAGAGCTCATTGCAGTAGTCCAAGCAGGAGATAACCAGAGCATGCACCTCTCTGGCGAGACATACTGCGGGCAGGTAGGGTCTCAGCTGGCGTACCAGATGGAGCTGGGAGACAGCTGCCCTGACCTGCGCCTCCGTGGACAGCTGTGAGTCCAAAATGACTCCCAGGCTGCGCACCTGGTCCTTCAGGTTACCCCATTCAGGACCAGGGAGTCCTCCACACCTGCCCACCCCCTGTCCCCCCAAAACAGTACTTCTGTCTTGTCAGGACTCAACCTCAATCTGTTAGCTGCCACCCATCCTCCAACCGCCTCCAGACACACACACAGGACCTTCACTGGTTCTGATTTAAAAGAGAGGTAGAGCTGGGTATCATCCGCATACTGATTAACACCCAGCCCAAACCCAATCACAGTATATGACCAGCACGATGTCTTGCAAAGTCACAACTAGGAACTGGTGGATTGTTATTTCAAGTCTGTGTCACTTTTACATATATTCACTCATTAGTCTGTTCCATTCCATTAATCTGCAGGATTAGTTTTTTTTTTAATTGATTCAATTTTTCTGATCCACCAATTAGTCAGATTAGGTCAAATCATTAGAATTCATAAGGATCAAATCTCAACTGCCTAGGGACAGTGCCACATCTTGTTATTGGCTCTGGTGCAGGGGGGCTTTTTGGGATCCTGATCAGCAAAGATTAAAGTCCCTTTACTCAGAGAATAGCTGATCTATTAAATTTTAAAAGGTGATTAAACAAGCTTGTGGAGGAGAGGTCTATCCATATCTACTAATCATTAAGGCTATGCGCTGGATCCAGGATCAGGCCTGCCAGTCGCTGAGCACCAAGAGCAGCAGAGGGCTGCTGCTGTCAGGTCCTGCTGGCAAGCTGCTTCTGAGGGAAAGGAGGCTGGACTAGATTGTTGGGATACTGCCAGGGAGACAAAGTCCATCATGACTCCACGTCGCCTCCAGACGTCCATCGATCTCCCGTAGACACGCAGTATCAGCAATTAGCGACACGAGCTCCAGAAATAGCTTGCCACATTCCAGAGCTGATGCACGCTCTATCAGCAGATAAGATGCACAGCGAAAGATGCACTTAGGAGAGCATTGTTTAAGTTTATTCAGCGTTGGTCAGAACAAAGAAAAAACATGACTGCCTGCTTCAGTGTCCAGGCACAGAGAGAGAGAGACAACAGCTCTATCAAAACAGAAAACATCCTGTGAACAGGAAATACGCAGACTCTGTGACTCACAAAGCCTTCTCCCTTTTAAGGTGGAACGGAAATATCCTAACATCCTCCCCCTTTCCGTGTAACCTGTAGTACCTGTGGTTCAACCCAATTGCAACCTCTGTACATAAACCTTAAGTTGTTCTCTGTTAACAACCTTAGACAACAGATCAGCAGGAATTTCATTTCCTGGCATGTAGGACACCTGAATGAGTCCTTTCTGAATACACTCTCTTGCACGATGTAGCTTAATCTGCAAGTACTTGGTTCTTTGCTTGCAACTCAGCAAAGCCAAACAGGATCTATTGTCTTGATACACTTGTATAGGACATTTCACAGAAACACTGATGTCCTTAAACAGTTGCATCAACCATTCACAATCCATGAGTGAAAATGACAGTGCATTGAGTTCTGCTTCACAGGAACTTAGGCTTACTGTTGTCTGCTTTCTGCACAGCCAGTCAAACAGACAGTGGTTGTACATGTAGCATACTCCAGAAGTGCTAGTACCATCTGTGGTGTCACTTCCAAAACTTGCATCTGCAAAGATTTCAAGACCTCCAGTCTTCTGACTGGTGAACCTCAGCCTGTAGTGCAAAGTCCCTTTCAAATAGCGGGCTATGCGCTTCAGAGCTTTCCAATCCTGAACAGTAGGATTGTTAGCATGTCTACTAATCAGGTTAGTGCTTACAGCTATGTCAGGTCATGAACATCTAGCAGTGAAATTCAACTTGCCTAGAATGCATCTGTACAGCATAGTGTCAGAAAACACTTCAGCAGTACTATCTACCTGGTAACCTGTCACCATCGGTGTGTCTGCTGGGTTTGCATCAACCAAATTCAACCTGGTTAATACATCAGCAATTTTCTGTGTTTGGTGTACCAGAAATTTACCTGCTCGGTCCCTCTCCACCTGCAAAGATAGTTGGATACCTCACCAAGATCCTTCATGTCAAAGTGCTCCTTTAGCTGAGCTAGGGTGCTTTGGTACAAAGCCTGATTCTTCCAAAACATCAGAAGATCATCAACAAAACATAAACAATACAGTTTGTTTTGCCCCTCCTCCTTGACAAACACACACGGATCAGCCTTGCCCTGGTGAAAACCTAGAGAAAGCAATGTCTCAGTGAGTTTTGTGTTCCAACACCTGGCACTCTGCTTGAGACCATATAAGGACCTCCGAAGTTTACAGACCATTCCCTTCTGTATCTGCATTCCATCAGGTGGAAGCATAAACAGCTCCTCCCCCAAAACCCCGTCCAAAAAGCTGTATTAATGTCATGATGGGAAACATGCAGTTTCTCCTCTGCAGCAATCTTGAGCATCAGCCGAATGCTCTCATACTTGACGGTGGGAGAGTACCGTATTTTTCGCACGATTGGACGCACCGGACCATAGGACGCACCTAGTTTTCAGGGGGGGAAATCAAGGAAAAAATATGATTCCACCCCCCCCCCAGCTCTGGGAGCAGTGGACAGGCTGCACGCAGCCTGTGCGCTACTCCAAGACCTTCTCCCTGCTTTTGCGGGAGGTGGCGGAATTCCCCCATCTCCCGCAAAAGCCCGCAGGAGGGAGAAGGGACTGACTCGGCCAGTCAGTCCCTTCTCCCTCCTTGGGGAAAAGCCCCCAAGAGCTGCGCGCTCTGTAAAGGCTGCGTGGCTCTTGCAGGCTTTTCTGCGAGGTGGGGGAATCCCCCCACCTCCTAGAAAAGCCAGCAAAGCCGTGCAGCCCCTTTAAAGAGCGCACGGCTTTTGCCTGCTTTTGCGGGAGGTGGGGGAATTCCCCCATCTCCCGCAAAAGCGCGCAGGAGGGAGAAGGGACTGACTCGGCCAGTCAGTCCCTTCTCCCTCCTTGGGGAAAAGCCCCCAAGAGCTGCGCGCTCTGTAAAGGCTGCGCGGCTCTTGCAGGCTTTTCTGCGAGGTGGGGGAATCCCCCCACCTCCTAGAAAAGCCAGCAAAGCCGTGCAGCCCCTTTAAAGAGCGCACGGCTTTTGCCTGCTTTTGCGGGAGGTGGGGCAATTCCCCCATCTCCCGCAAAAGCGCGCAGGAGGGAGAAGGGACTGACTCGGCCAGTCAGTCCCTTCTCCCTCCTTGGGGAAAAGCCCCCAAGAGCTGCGCGCTCTGTAAAGGCTGCGCGGCTCTTGCAGGCTTTTCTGCGAGGTGGGGGAATCCCCCCACCTCCTAGAAAAGCCAGCAAAGCCGTGCAGCCCCTTTAAAGAGCGCGCGGCTTTTGCCTGCTTTTGCGGGAGGTGGGGGAATTCCCCCATCTCCCGCAAAAGCGCGCAGGAGGGAGAAGGGACTGACTCGGCCAGTCAGTCCCTTCTCCCTCCTTGGGGAAAAGCCCCCAAGAGCCGCTCGCTCTTTAAAGGGTGCGCTGCTCCTGCAGGCTTTTCTGCGAGGTGGGGGAATCCCCCCACCTCCTAGAAAAGCCAGCAAAGCCGTGCAGCCCCTTTAAAGAGCGCACGGCTTTTGCATGCTTTTGCGGGAGGTGGGGGAATGCCCCCATCTCCCGCAAA